GTCTTTGAACACATGCCCACCCTCGAATGAGTGGTCCATACATGCGACCACCCAGCCCGGAGGCCTTAGTCATGGTGGATTTTTTGTCTTTCAACACATGCCCGCCCTCGAGGGAGTGGTCGAACATGCGACCACTCAGCCCGGAGGCCTTAGTAATGGTGGATTTTTTTTTTCTTCGAACACATGCCCACCCTCGAAGGAGTGGTCGATACATGCGACCACCCAGCCCGGAGGCCTTAGTCATGGTAGATTTTTTGTCTTCGAACACATGCCCACCCTCAAAGGAGTGGTCGATACATGCGACCACCCAGCCCGAGGCCTTAGTCATTGTGGATTTTTTGTCTTCGAACACATGCCTACCCTCGAAGGAGTGGTTGATACATGCGACCACCCAGCCCGGAGGCCTTAGTCATGGTGGATTTTTCCCTTTCAAACTGATCGAACACTTCGACCTGGCGCTGAAGTCGACAAGAAAACACACCAAACACCACGAGATAGAATAGTAATCGATCATTCTCATTAGCCTCATCAAATGCATAGTTGTATCAAACAAAATAAAATAAATCAAGTATATTTTTCGACCTCCCTTTCATGTTTGTGCATGACGACCTGTGTTGTCGTTCACTTCCCGTTGTCCACTCCTCACTGCAACCATGCAGTTTATGTAGATAGCCAATCCTCATGTTCGTGTATTTTCCTCAGCAAGAATTCAACAATTTCATTAGTCATATTTTATCCACATCATCCCATTTGCAATCCCGATAGCAACCATAACAAGAGATTAATAAATCAAGGCAATCACATTGGTCCACATGGTTTTATACCAAACCTCAATTTACATGAAAACCACTTTAACACGGTATGCAATCACATAAACACCCACTCCAATGTACAGTCGACCAAAATTTCACACAACCATGAGTTCAACAAACAATTTCAATATATCATACTCTGCAGCTACAAATGACCATTAAACGAATACACCGAATGAAAGGTGAGATGAATTACTCCCAATATCGAGCTCCGTAGTCATGACGACTCGAAACTGGCCAGCCGGAAGGCCTTAGTTATGCCAGATTTTTGTTCAAGCCTCCACAAACACCTCATTTTCGGCATTTTGTTAGCCACCTGGATAATAATTCTAAACATATCCATATACGTCACGATCTAGCAATATTTGGCCCAGAATATCCAAAGAAAATGAACATTTCTCCAAAAAAGTATGCTAAGAGACTCAATGTTTCAATAAATTGCGTCGGTCGAACTTGACCGCTCACAAGAGTTTATACCTGAAGGTCGATAATGCCACTATCCTACCTCTCCAAAAGAGAACGATTCTGCCTTTGAAATTACCATCGGCGTTTGGTGCCATCATTTATTTTGTCCTCGAAACTCCCCAACTCGTCTACCATAGCTTGTCCCGACTCATGTTATTTCGTCGTTTCCTCGGCAAGAATTCAAAGAGATATCATTATCCACATTATATACATGTCATCAATTTTGCAATGCTCCACGCAAGACAAACAATAGATCAAATACAAAAATCACCATCTCCTCGATTTAAAACATGTTCGAGCAATGACATGTTTAAAAATTTTGATTAATCCATTTTAACAAAATTCACACTTTTACATGAAAATCCAAATCAGACGCTTCGGATATATCAAGATATCAAATCATATAATTTTAATCCACCTCCTCAAGCTCATCTATAAGTGCACCAAAAAATACGATAAACACAATCCCAAAATATCCTCAATTCAAAATCAAGACCTGCATTTATTTTCAAATAAATATATCAACGAGTAAATCAAATAAT